TGTAGCTATTTCGTTGTAGAAATGTGGCCAGACTCCTTAAGAAGGGTCTCAGAACTCTGGCCGCCAAAAAGGTAGCCTACCATTATGTGGGTAATGCTCTTCTTCGACAGCCAGGCCCATTAACTTAACACTTTCTAGGATGGAACAAATATATCAGGCCAGCAAGGTTATTCTCCCATTGGCTAGGTAAGAATTCAAATCCAGTGTTATAAGTTATAGGGTTCAGGGCGAATCTCCCAGGAAAGGCAATGTGCAACAGTTGGCGGGCGCTGCCTCTCCTCCATGACGGGAAAGACTCCGGCTCACTGGTTTGGGGTGCATAGAGATTCGCGACTAGACTGTGGGTAGTTGTCAAAATGAGGGTCCCTTTCTGGGTACCCTAAATATTAGGTGCCGTACTATAATAAGGACCCAAAAAGGGACCTTAATTTTGACAACCACCCCTATCCAAAAGGAGGGGCATAATGACACTTTGAGGATGAATATAGGTATTGCTTGTTCAGCAAGGCCTGCAGCACCCAGCAGGGCCAAAGAGAGCAGTCGGCCACGTCGCATCTGGGGCATCGCCTGCACACAGGGTTAAAAGTAGAGGAGGAAGGTACTGTGCTTAGGGCTTGCAAGGCTTAGGGGGTTGAATTTACAGTTTAAGGTTGAGGGTTTAGTGTATAAAGACGAACCCTAGGGCTCCAGCTACCTAAAGATTGAGGTGCTATCTTTCATCATATAAAATTACGGTCCCTCTTTGGGTCCCTATTATAATACGGTTTAGGGTACCCAAAAAGGGACATTAATTTTGACAACTACCCAAATGTCACAACAACCTACTCTCTGGGTAACTGGAGCCCTAGGAGAAGGTCCTGATCAAGCGGTGTTGCTCAAGCCAGAGCTACGGCATTCTTCATCTAAGCTCACTTGTCATTGTGTAGGGTTTACTGTGATGCCAACGTATATACTGTTTGGGTACATGGCCCCTAAGGTTTTGCAGTTGTGCAGTGTTCTCATTGTCAGAAGAGCTTTTGCTGCGACGCAAGCCACCCCTAGAACCACCGTTGTAGAAGCAACTGCTTTTTGCGGTTGAGCACCTATGGAAACGGGACTCAGTGGCTCGAACAAGGTTGCAGGTCGAAGTGTCAATGTTGCCAAAAAAGCGGTGGCACATATACACTAATATGGACTTCGCCCTCCCCCCAATAATGAAAAAAAACATATAGTGGTAGTATACATGGACCCCCTGGGTTCTCTTTAACTTAGGAAAGGGCTACAAGAGATGATCCTACGTATCAAAACCTGGACGTCGACTTGACACTGTCTGGTTCTTAGTAGGGAATGGGTTTAGGGTTTAGGGTTTAGGGTTTAGGGTTTCGGGTTTAGGGGACTACTATTGGAGATTATATGAGGACTACTATAGGGATCCAATCCCCCATTCCCTGCGAAGCACCAGACAGTTGAACCGAACTTAACGAGGACCTCCTGTCTTCCCCCTCCAAACGCCACAGCCAAGGGTCCATGTACCCAAATAGGGGTTACTTTAAGGGTTCATCAAGGGTTCTATAAGGGTATCATCAGGGTTTGGGGTTCAGGGTTTAAGGGTCCATGTACCCAAATAGTACACTTTGGCCTTAAAGTAGTCCCTATGTGGCTACTTTGGTGCCAAAGTATCTCCTATCTGGTCTGGGTACATGGGCCCCTTCGATAATCTCCTGGCATCCTTTGATCAAAGCATAAAAGCCCTCGAGTAGCTTCCTACTAACCTCTATGGGAACCCCTTAGGTTTAGGGTTTAGGGTTTAGGGTTTAGGGTTGTATTAAGCCTTGTAGTACAAGTAGCTCCCATAGTAACTCGAAGCCCAGCACCTAGATGAGCAAGCTCGGCCTATTCCAGGGAATTTCCTGGTCGCCCACTTCCTACGATCCCACGGATGTTGAAAACTTGAGCCGAGGCGAACGCGAGGACTTGAGTCTACTTGCGAGACAACGATGAAACAACGAAAGCTGGTTACTTAAAGGACTACGGACCCACGAAACAGGGCAAAAAGTAAGCTAGTTGAAAAGCGTACTTACTAGGTCCCCTGATCCTTCAAGTGGGAGTTTCCGAAATTGGGGGGGTGGTCCCTGATTTTGGGGTCCTTATAATAAGGATCCTACTATTCAGGGTACTATATTAGAGTCCCCTATTATTTTCGGAAACTACCAGTGTAGGTTCTGGAGGGATGCTTTGGGGCTTCGGGGCTCAGTCAGTGTTTCAGGCGGTTTAGGGTTTAGGGTGGTTTAGGGTTTAGGGTGGTTTAGGGTTTAGGGTGGTTTAGGGTTTAGGGTGGTTTAGGGTTTAGGGTGGTTTAGGGTTTAGGGTGGTTTAGGATTTAGGCTGGTTTAGGGTTTAGGGTGGTTTAGGATTTAGGCCCAAAATCCTAAACCCGACGTCGTTTAGGGTAGGGATGTCGGAAACACCGCATATAGCTCAAAGAACCAAACAGCAAAACGAAACAAGGAAAATCCGCAGCATGCAATTACGTGCTGCTTGTTTACTGCTTAGGGTTTCGGGTGTCTGTTTACAGTTTAATGGTAAGGTTTTGGGTTTCCTTTGCGATGGAAAAATTCACAATGACGAATGCTTTAGGGCGTAGGGTGTGCGAAATGTAAGAAATTCCCCGGACTTCTCAGACCGCTCTGCCCATGGACGAACGAACATCGCGCCAAGATCCTGCCCCTCTCGTGAGTACAAAGCTGGGACATGCGCTGCTAGTAGATTCCTCAAGTTGTGTGGCTAATTTACCTCGACAGGACGATGTATGCCCAAAAGCCTGCACTCTGCATGTTGTCAGTTTCAGCATAAAGCACAAATTTCTCAGCGTGCTCCCCGAAGCATCTGGGCAGCTTGAGGAACAGTTGTGTAAAGGGCATGTAAGGCTGAGGAAATCAGATGCAATAAGAATCCGCGCCTGCCTGCCGCAATAATGAATTGAGACTAGGGCTTTGCAAAAGTAATATTTTGAAAAAACCAGCATACGGAACCCTGGAAAATACTAATCGTAACTACTCAGGATTTCACACTGAGGATCTTACCAATCAAACTGAGCTGGGATCTAGGATCGCAGGGTTTAGGATGCAGAGAATACCACATATGACCGACCACTTCAAGCGTGGCGATCTCGACTAGGCTCTTCCTCACTTTCAATCCAAGGGTAAAGGGAGGGACCCTTAATAAGGACTCCTAGGTATATACCCTTAATATAGCTATTATATACCCATTACATAGCCCATTATAGGGTAAGGGTCCCCATTAAGGGTCCTTTGATTCAAGCCTTGACGAACCTCTGCATGTTGCGGGTTCATGGTGCCTTTACTTGTGGTTTCGGCGGCGACAGCACGAACGCACCACAAAGCAAAACGACATTGCACCACGAGCATGATAGGATAACTGGCTCACTCCTCGCACCCTTCTGATGTCAAAGTTGCCGGTGATGGTTGATGAGGCACTTGCTTGATGCAAAAAATCGTCCGTTCGCATGTATGGCTTTTCTGACAGCTGCTTCACATCAATAGCAGGAATGCGTCCATCTACAGTAGTGAATAACAAGACTAAAAACAGAGGCGACTCTGTCTGCAAATCTACTACATGCACATTGTAAATATACATCTACAGGATCAGTCTTTGAGTCATGCCTGCACGGCCTCTGACAACGCCGTGACGCCCTGTACAGCTGCCCAGGGCTATATTCAAAGGATTGCTCGCGGTGCGCAGACACGAAGAGACAGCCAGGCTGTATGGAACTTCTCACGCATCTGCTATGCTCTGCTGGCACCAGGCCGAAACTATTGACCTTGGAAATATTGAAGCCTGAAGGGTGCCATCTAAGACGCAGAACAACCCATGCGGATACTCTCTGCTCTTGCCCTAGGCCTCGAAGGGCTTTGGGCCTAAACACCATACGATCCAAGGCTTGTTGGCTATTTTGAGCCTTACTTTAATTATCGTCAAAAGCAAAAATGATAAACCCCTTCTGCTCTGTGACGGTCCTGGCGGTTTCTGAGCCATCTAGGGCTGGCAAGCTCCCGCATCACACTTAGCTGAACCCAAAACCCTACCTGGCCCCCAAAGTGTGTAGAACACTAGCCGTTTACAGGTGTTGAGCCAGTATTTTACCTACTTTCGAGGGTTCAGGTCAACTTTAAAAAGCCGTAAACCCTGAAGCCCTAAAACGGTTCGGTGCGCAGGCAAAGGCACCGCAGCGCACGCAATGAACCCCATTCTGTACGAAGCTGAATTCAGGTCCAGCATCTTTCACCTCAGCTCTCATTGGAAACTAGTATCTATAGTTCATGGTTGGGATAGGATTCCGAAACTCAGGTTTTATTCCTTATTGGGTCTAAGTACCCATAAAACTCTCAAATATTGCCCACGAAACTATAGGCTTAGGGTATAGGTTTGAGGGTATAGGGTTTGGGGTTTAGGATTAGGGATCAGTGTTTAGAGGCGTCTCGGCTTAGATATTGCATTTGGCTGTCTCCTTGATTCAGCCATTTGCATATTAGGTGCCAGGCCCTAGCGTTTGCTCTGCCATTCGCGTCGCCTCCAGTCTGGGGACTGGTTGCAGCTGCCCTTTGCTGGGCCTGCACGGTGCTCCGCACCCGCCCTCTACTGTGAGTGGCAAGGCCTTTTCTTTGACGGCTGGCCCCCGTCCGCCCTCTGCTGTGAGTGGCTACACTGGCCTTTTTCCTCGGCGGTTGGGCCCCGCCTGCGCTGTCGCTGCAGTTGACTCTGCCGACAGGCGTGTGGATATTCTATGGGCAGTAGGAGACCCTATTTTCTCCTGCTGCCACTCTTTGCCCTTGGGATTTTCCTTCTGTGGATTGGGCAGGCTCCTGTGGACCATTCCTCGGCAAGGCGAACCTGGCTGGCACAGACGGAAGCGCCACCAGCGTCGCAAGGCGAGAGCTCGCCTACACGCTGGCCGCGGACAATCACAGGACATCGAGCTTCTCCGCTCGCATCACGGATCGATGCCACCGAAGACCCCAGCCAGGGAAAAGCAAGGGAAGGGCGGCGGCAAATCTGGCAAAGCAGAAGGGCCACTCCCGTCTACATCGCAGGTGCAACTTGGGTTCCCTGCGGAGGTGATCACAGCTCTGCAATCTCTCCGAGATCGGGCCACATCCGACCTGCGGCTCGACGACTATACGGTTGCAGAAGATCGCACGCTTATCCAGGCGGCCAATCAACAGGCAGCCGCGATCACCAGAGCCACCAAGCGCCTGGAGGCGAACTCCCGGGCGAAAGTAGCGCTGGGGCAGGTCTTGGGACTATGGCTCGACCGGGTAGGCCGCCACCTTGCGGCTGTTCCCCGACAGATCAACAATGTGGGTGCACGCCTCGATGCAGATATCCAAGACGCCACGGCAGCCCTCGACGCAGCATCCCAAGGGCTGGTGGCAGGGCAGGCTGCCCTCCTGCGCCAGCAAGCCGCGGAAGCCATGGGGCCACCGATAGCGACCATGGTGGGGAACGAAGTGCTCCGCATTGCCGCCGAGCTAAGAGCAGCAGCTACAGTGTCGGCAGGCAGCTCTGCCATCCTGCCGATGTCAGGCGGGCACTTCGGCTTCCCGGACAACACAGGTGCAGGCCCTGCAGACCTCCACGCCACCATGGACCTAGGCTATGGTGGGGTCGGAAACCTTGTGGAGGATGCCCTGATCGAACCGACAACACGATCGCATGTCCCGCCAGGAAACCCCGCAGCTGCATCGGGGCGCCGGTGGGCTCTGAAGAGGGCGACAGACCCGGCGGCCTCCAGGCCATCCAAAAGTCCCAGGCGGAGCGATCCCCTTTCGGACAATGTTGGCACGGCCGAAGGGTCTGCGACGCCATGGCCCAGTGCTGCCACAGGTCGATCGCCGCTGGGCCACAAGCCAACGCCTCTGTCCAGGCCAGGGGATCTCAAGACCCAGCTGGATGCAAGCGCCGACCCATCTATGCCGAACCCTCCGGAGCCTACTGGAACCCCTGGTGCAGCACCGGTGCCAGTGGAACTGAAGGACTCGGCTCAGGGCGAACTGGACTGGGTGGAGACGCAAAGATCGTGGCTCCAATCCTGGATCGCTGTGGTGCAACGCTTGGCAGCTCAGGGTCGCGACCTGGTAGGGGACGTGCCCCAACCGCCGGACCAAGCAGCCCTTCCGGGGCGTCCAGCCACAGATGCAGAAATCTCAAGTTTCCATGGCATCGCAGAGGCCATCTGGAAAACTTTGCTGGAGCATGCGCAAGACCCCGACTCGGTCACTGGCCCTCGCATCCTAAACATGGTGCAGGATGTCCAACACTTGGGGGGGATGGTGCATTCCCAGCCTGTCTTGGTTATCTCTTGCAGGCAGGGAGTCATTGCGTTGGCGCACCTCCTCAACTCGCGGATTCTGGGTCTGGACGGCTTCGCGCCGCAGACGCTGCAGGAGTGGGCAAACCCCCACGAGGTGCTGGGACGTGGCTTGACACCGCATGGGCACCTCGCTACGGCCAAGACGGACGACGAAGCAGAAGCCGTGCTCCTCGACCAGGACTGCCCGTTTTTCTGAATCAGCTCGAGAGGAAGGTTGTACAGGTCTTCTGGATTCTTTGTACAGCTGCAGTGACAGTAGCACTGATTTCTTGGGTAGCCGTTGTCTGTGCGGAAGCTGGTGTCCCTCGGCTCGTCACTCTCTCTTTTGGATTTCTTCGGCCTTCTCTCCTATGGCTGTGGCGGGCCCCTTGGATTTGCCTGGAACCTCTCGTTCGGGTTCGGTTTAATCTCTGCCCCAAGCACAGGACCCGCGCTCCACGTCCCCGCTCAGGTAAAGGCATTGCCCTGCTTTGGTTGGTTGCCTCTGCACATGTTGCTGACTGCCGTGTGCCACCGTACCCTGCTTCGGTTCATGGCACGGTTACGGGCGCTCCTACACCTGCTGCAGCTACCAACTGGCCTGTTGAGTCCACCTCTCTGGTTCAGGTGACGCATTCCCGGCGCTTTCGAGGGGACTCTATCCTCGCCGTGCAACCGGTGCCCCGGGTGCAGCATCTACATGAGCTTGAGATTCCCATCATGCACCCGGCAGCCGGGGCGGACAACCCGCATGCTGCGGGTCCCAACCACCTCCGTCCAGTGGCGGTTTTCGTGGCTGGGCACCAAGCCGGGGGACCCACCACGGTTGCAGTGGACGTGCGACTGCACGGCATGCAGATGCATCGGGTCCTGCTCCAATTGCTCGGGCTATCATTCCAGCTTTGGCATGTTCATGAGCTGCAGACCTTGCTACCCAGCCTGCCTCCTGAGCAGGTCGTGGTCGTGCCGAATGAAGTTGCGTGGAACCAAGCTTGCATCCCAGTTGATCTGTGTGCACTTGGCGGGGGGTATTCAGTTGTGCGAGGACCGCGTCAGCAGCTTGCGAGCTACTTCCTTGTAGCTGCAGCCCGGAGTCAAGACCTCCCACTCGACCTGGGCCGCACTGTTTGCCTCACCAGGCATGGGTTCTTTGATCCTAGCTGCCAAGCCCTTTTGCTTCACGGTAACGACGCCTTGCAAGCTCTGCCGGTGTATGATGTGGAGTATAGCCTGGAGCCACCCACTTCAAGCACGACGTCACACCGTCTGGCGCTCAGCTCCTCCAGCGTGCCATCACAGGGCCTGGACGACCTCCCCAATCCATGGCAACGGGCAGCGGTTATCACCCTCAATGGCCTTGTCTTTTATGACACGGATCCATTTCAGGATCGGGAAGGGCTATTGCGGTCCGCTTACTTAGCAGTTGAGGATACCACCCCTATCTTCCTGCTTCGCGTCTACCCTCCCATGCCAGGACTACCGCCAGTCCAGTTTGTGCAAGCCATAGCATCCGCATGGCAAACCACTTATGTTGTTGATGCAAGGCCCGTTGGAGGCGAAATCAACATCGTCTACCTAGGGCCGCGGGCACCGGTGCGCGATGTCCTCCTGCAGCTGCCCACATATCGGAGTGTCGGCCCTGTTGGCTCGGATCTTGTTGCACGCATCCGTGAGGGAGAGCTACGTGCCCTCTTTCGGGAAGCTGAGGTTGGTGTTGACACTGCCTTGCCAGGCCATGCGCCCTTGGCTATCCTCATCGCACCCGGACGCAACAGACCGGGCCCAAGGCAGCCCAACAACTCCCCTGCTGACCCTAGTAACTCCCAGTCCGACACCCTACCACACCCTAACAGTGCCAGCGCGGGTTTTTCTGGGTTCCTAGCTACTGGTCTGGCTCTCGTGCGCGGCAGCGGCTGGAAGGGAGTGTTGGCCTGGGTTATAGGCTCCCTTTACGTTGATGCCACAGGTAGGGCGCAAAGCCTGCCAGCGGATCCTGATCGTGCTTCTAGGGCCGTGCCTGCACCGAATGGCCGTCTGGAAGTGGTGTATCATGATGCAGCCACGCACCTTCGGGTACAACAGACCATTCTGTCAGGCTTTGAATGCGACTTCATGCCGATTGTCACAGGGTTCGGCTCACTGTTCCATTCGGTTGAGCTCCGCGTCTGCTTGTGGGCGCCGGACGATTTCGAGGAGTTCAAGTTCCCAGGCTCGGCCTCTCGGAATCTCCTCATGTCACGGCTCACTGAGACTGCCAGAAGATGGGGCAGGGGCAACGTGGTGGCTGCCTCCTTTGCACCCAGTGCACTGGCCATTCATTTTGTGGCCGTGACCACAGAACCCGGGATTCGCACGGTCCTTTTTACCACAGGTACCAACTGCGCCTGCCTCGATGTCGAGAGAGACCCTCCGCGAGACTCTCTCCTGCGGCTCTGCTCCGACCGCCTGAAGTCAGACTGCATCCGTCTGCTGCCTATGCCAACGCCTCTCCGGCATGGGGATGTAGTTAGGGTTGAGGCTGATTTTGACTTTAACGGGGCCGATGTTAGTCGATTTCTGCTTTACGCGGAGAGCCTGAGCCCATCCCGCTGGCTTGCATCACCGGCTTACAGGCAGTTGGTCGTGCTCGGGAAACGAAATGGGGTTTCCATCCTGCATGATGCTGACCTCTCTCGATCGGCCTTCTGCGCCGCCGAGGAATGGGTACGCGAATGTCTCGGGGCCAGGCCTGTTGTGCGGGAAGTTCCTGAGCTCTCTGGATTGCTTGGATTCCCCTGCTTTCAGTCAGTGCGCATCGGGCACACCAATGCTGTCCTCTGGCTACACGACCACTTTGGCTCCGGTGACACTGGTCTGGCCTTTGCGGTAGAGGGCACCTTCTCGTCTGCTGTTGATGTTTTCGAAGCTTGTGCAAGATCCTCCTCCACTGCCAGAGCAGTCTGCAGCATAGTGTCTAATGCAGACCTCCGCACGGTTCGCACTGTACATGGGGTGTTTGCCGATGCCAGTAACACCCGCACATTGTATGTGCAGATGGCTTTTGATCTACAGGCACTCCCAGGAGGTTGCTTTTCTGTGTTCCGGCAGCGGGCCACCCTCATTGGCTCACGGGCCAAGTCGGGCCGTACCCCATCTAGAGGGCGACATGGCCCAGCTACCACTGCCAGGTCAGGTTCAGGCTCAGCCAGAGGGATGCGCAGATCTGCTACCCCGGTTCGACCCCAGTGTCGTCCCTCGCACCTACAAACTACCGAAGGCGACCTCCAGGTCCTCCACTGTGACGAACAGGACGTGACCTGCGTCATTAGGCGCGGCCCACACATGCAAATCTGGGCATTGAACGTTGAGGGCATTTGGCTTAGTGCTTGCACTGCTCATTTGTCCTGGGAAGCAATTGCTTCTGTCGGGGGAGCTTCATCTTGGGACATTGCTGATCTTACCGTTGCCTCGGGGCAGCTTTGGTGGAGGTACCCGCAGAATTTGGAGGACGCGTCGGGGAAGTGCTTGCACCTGCATCAATCGTGCGCTCCATGTTTTGCTAATCCGTCTCCCCCGCCTGCCCCGGTGTTGACCGGGACCGCCTTTGGCCTGGTCAGTGCCCTCTCTGCCGGCAAGTTCTCGTGGTGGCTCCCTGTCCTGTGGGCCTTGTCAGCGGAAGCTAGGCCGGGACATCGTGCAGCCACCTCATCCGAGGGATCGGCTAACGATAGCACCAGTGATGGCAATGCGTCCTTCCCCGTCTCCACGGTTGCCCTTGAGGACCAGCACGACCACTGCTACGATCCGCCACAAGGCTGGGCTATGCAAGCCTCGATTGCAGCAGGAAATTTCCCGGTGGAGGCCGACCGGCTGTATGGATGGCTGTGTTCCCTCACTCAAGAAGCACATGACATCCGTCTTTGGACACCTTTGCGAGGCCCTTCTCTTGTCAGTTGGAACACACTGCACCCAGCCTCTCTCGCTACCGGTCTTGCCGCAGGGGGGTTTCGCCCCGAGCAACATGACTTGTATGTCGCTTGCGACACGGATCCCTTCACTCTCGAGCTGATTGCTGTCCCCAGGGGTCAAGGCTACTGGTGGATTGTCCGGGATCTGCTCAGTCGAGAACTTTTGCGGCCAGTTGCTAGGCTCCCATGCGCGGGATGCCTTATTGCAGCCACTGTGAATTCTGCCGGAGAGGTCAATGCTTTGGCCCATCACAGCCGTATTGCCGTCTGCCACTCCCTCCCGCAGGGCTGCCGTGCCACTGTTGTCAACCCTGTGGACGGCTTCACCGGTGTGCTTGGGCCTGCCGGACTAGTCCTTACAGCAGGGTTGGCTCGGCCCCGGGCGTTGGTTGGACCATGTCCTTCTGGGCATCCTGGGGCCGCACCTCTGGTGGGCCACTAGGTACCCTTGCCATGCAACAGGCTCAGCTTACCCCGGCCAGGGTATATACGGCCATCCGCATCTGGGTTGTTGACCACTCTTCTCCCATGTACTTAGCGGGACCACCATGGCCTTCAGAGGAAGAGATCCACAATATCGTCCAGCTCTGTGGGTACGGGGTTGCTAAGGGGACTTTAGTGGCTGTACGGAGCCCGCCTGGACAAACTGTCTATGAAGCAATTTATGCTCCGGCCCACTTCACCTCCGCTGGGATCTCAGTCTGTTTGGTGCAGCTTGAAGGTAGGGCGGCAGTTTTCTCCTTCGAGTCATCCTTGTTTGATTGGGGCGTCTTTGCTCGTTGGTTCCGTGACACGTTCCGGGAGGACCATGCACATCCCCAAGCCCTATCCTTCCGCATTGGTAACTGTGGCTACACTTTTGGTCAGGCTGTGCAAGTTCGCAATGGGGAACACCTTGTGCTTGCTGAGGCCCGCCAACAGTACACTTCTTACCTCCCCCCTCCTGACCCGTGGTCGCAAGACTCGGCCCTTCTGCCGCACCCACATCTGCTGCAAGCGGGCCCCCTTCGAGAAGCGCCTCTTGTCGCGCTACTGACACAGCCCACGGTGAGCCCCGGCAATGATACTGCTAGAGCGTGGAGGTGGGTTGTTCAACCCGGTGGTGCGGCTGCCCGCTCACCACTGCTTGCAGCGGGCCACCAACCTGCAGCTGCTGTCGCGCCACAGGCACTGCCAGGCCCTACGGGGGCCAGCCTTTCGCCTGGCCCCGGTCGCACATGTCCAGGCCTGGTGACCCAAAGTCATGCGAGCTGCCAGACCGATCCAGGAACAGCGACCCTGGATGACATCTGGTGGGCCATTCAAGATATGCAGTGTCAACTGGCTGCCCTAGCCGCACAAGCGCATGTACCCCCGGCGGAAGGTCTTCCACAAGCGGGGACAGGAGCTTTCCAGGGGCATCAGGCAGCGCAGGCTCCCGCGCCAGTGCTTCCAGGGAAGCAAGACCATTCTGGCGCAACACAAGGTTGCCACAGTCTTTTGTGGCGTGGTTTGGGGTTGGCTGCACTATTGTTTCGCGGCTTTCCACGACCAGGCGTCCTGCTTAGCCTTTGCGCAGCCATTGTGGTTGCTGCCCCAGATGGGGCTGCCCCAGAACGCAGCCGCTCTAGATCAGCTGACCCTGCGCCTGCTCAGTTGTGTTCCCTGCGAGACGACGCTCAGGGCCGTCCTCTCGGCTCCACCGGACACCTGCGTCATGCACACCGGTTGGAGCATTTCCCTGGGTCCCCTGCCGCTGCGGCCGTGGCCGATGATGACAGAGCCCGCACGACGGTTCCGGGCCCTACAGGCGTTGATGGCGTGGTCCGCTCTGCTTCGAGTCGCGACATCCTGCAGCTGCAACATGCCCTGCTACATGGGTGTCCCGGGGTTGAAGTTGCTACGGCAGTTGATCTTGACCACCTTCGGGTGCCGATTCGGATTCATAGCCCCTTCTCCCCTGGCTCACCTGCCCCGCTCCAGCTGCCACCGGTGGGTAATGGCTGCTTTCCACCATGGCGCTTTCTCCAAGATTACGCCCGCCTGCATGGGTGGACGCGCCTGCGTCCTGCCCAACCACAGCCAGACACATGCGCACTCCACTTCCTCCCGGCTGCTGTGGACCCTTTACGTTCGAACGTCCTGTTGAAGGGGGATGGCGATCGTCTGTGTCCTGTGTCACTTCCCACGCATCTCACCCAGGAGGACACACAACACTTGACACTTGAAGGCTCCAGGATCCGGCTCCACCAGTCACTCACGGACGGGCCTTGTCATGATGCGGTCACACTCCATGATGGAGCCTGCATGCGGTTTTCGTTCGCAGGCCCGCCGAGACCGCAACCCGTTCAGGTCCCGACATCGGATGCTAGGTCACCGCATCCCTCACCTGCGCTCCGTGCTCTGGCGGGCCTGGTTTTGCCAAGTCGGCTGAGATGGCTCGCCTTCATAGCTGGGGCTGCTGCTATGTTCGAACCCAGAGCTACTGGGCCCGTTTTTGTACCGTTGCCAGACTACGTCGGACAAGGACTTCATACCGACCTTGTCCGGGTGGGGCGTTTCCCATGGAGGACTGATTTTGACACTGCGAACCTGTTGATGGTGGTTGAAGGCAGGCAGGTAAGGGTAGTATGCCTAAGCCCTTTCTGGGGGGCAGGTCATGTCACGGTGGTTGAGGCTGAGGCCTCCTGCACACACTCCTTTGGACGAGCGGATCGTGACAGGATCCTGTGGGCGGATGGGTACGCGCCGGTCTGGCCCTGCCCGGTTGCTTGTGAACTGGCTGTTGTCCCCACTCCGCCAGACCCAACTACCGTGTGCATCGTGGCACGGGTTTGGCATGCCACTGTGGCCCTTCTGCTACCACGGGTAGTCACTGTGGAATGGCTGCTGCGGACGCTGCGCCATGCCTTCGAAAAAAAACACGCCCTTGCACTCGCGCTCCCGCCGCAGCTTAGACGACAGGCTACTGCGGCTACGTCTTACCTTCAGCTCCGGTCCGGTGATTATGTCCTTGCCATCCCTGAGACAGCACGGCCTGGCACAACCGCCACAGACGATGAGTCTTTTGTGCGCCATGCGGTTGCCTGGAGTTTGCCTTTTCAGATCCTCACTCCGATCCGACTGCGGCTCTGGAGACCGGGGCAATCCATGCCGCAGCAGCTCGAACTACCTCAAGGTGATACGTGGGATCCGGACTTCTTGTCCTTTGCTTCGTTCTCTCGGGCCCATATTGCTGGCTCCTGGGTCCCTGTCCCCTGGGTCAGCGACGAAATCCCCAATATGGTGTGCACTGCGAGCCATGGGCGAGAAGCCACCGTTCTCCATGAACGTGATGGCCGTTGCTGTTGTCTCAGTGTGGATAACCCGAGCTCGCTCGAGTGCTTGGCCACAGTTTTGTCAGCAGCCCCTTCCACTGTCCAGGTCTTGGGCCTTCATATCCATGCCGACCGGCCCATCGCACTCCGCGACGGTGACATCATCATTAGTGCACCAGCCACCCCCACCTCGTCGGACCCCGAGACTGCGGCCTTGCCAAATGCCATGAGCGGAGCTGACTCCAGCTCGGTCTGCAAACTCGTACCACCTCTTGGGGTTGCCCTTTGTAGTCTCATCCCCCGAGGTTTCCCACAAGGACTTTGCCTGCTGGTTACCTTAGGCGGCGCGGGAGCGATGGACCCAGAGGGGCAAGTTGACTCTGAGTCTGCCACTCGGCCTCGCTCTCGTTCTCCCCCTCCGGGCTTCCTTGCATCTACAATGACGTCACCACCGGGACAGTTCGATGCTGTCCCACTCGATGCCCTGCTCACGGGAGAAGACCCTAGCGTGTCAGTTGTCCAGCTATGGTGCCCTTTTGCGGGGGTCAGCGCCCCTACAGCTGTCAGCCTGGCCTCGTTTTGGCAACAGGTGGAGACCCTCGCCACCGTCCACTCGCCCATAGGGTCCACTGGAGCCAATGTCTGTAACCCCCCCGTCAGACAAGGGACGCTCCAGTTAGTTACCAGAGCTCCTGAAGAGTTCGTCACTGTCCTAGTGGAAGGGCTGGGGCAAATCTTCGCCATGATGCTGCCGGCAGTTATCACGTATGATGCCCTGAAGACCACAATGACTATCCGCGTTGGTGTACCGGTCAAAATTGGGGCACCACTCCCATGCCTTATCTCCGGCAACGCTGATTTTAAGCTCTACCTACGTAACGGGGATCGGTTGACGATAGGATTGGCTTCCTCTCACCCCTTACGGTTGGACCCTTGCTGCCCGTGGTTTTCCACTTGGGTTGAGGCCGGTGTCGCTGCGATCTGGCACGCCCCTTTCAAAGTGGCAGAAGCAGGCGAGGTCGTTCTGTGGACCCCGGACCAGGCGCCCACCGTCGTCACCATTCCGGCCTCCAGCGAATGGGATCCACGTGGTCTCACAATCCGAAGTCCAGGCAGTGGGGCACTGAATGGCCGATGGGTTCCCGCGCCGGTCCGGCCCAGCCGACGACCGTGGCTACTGCGCAGGGCCCCTCGTCGGTTCTCCCGCACCATCCTGTTCTCAGGCCATACTCTGAGCTGCACCCATGTTAACCCCGCGCAGGCCGCTGCGCAGTTGGAGGCCGGTGCCTATGTGGTTTCCTCGGGAATGAACAGTAATGGCCCACCCGTCCCTGACCCTGATCTCCGGGACGGTGATTGGCTTGCAGATGGCGCTACGGGCAGGGCAGGTCCTCGGCCACTGCTGTCTCCAATTATCTTCGTACTTGTAGCTGCAAGTGGAACACTGCGGCTGCCGCGCTCCCTGTGGATTCCGGTCCTGTGTATCTCCTTCAGTTATGTCCTGTGCGGTGCAGGCCTGCCTGGACAGGACCTACCGACCGGCAACGCCCGCCCTTCCGCCGCCTCCCTGTTCAGTGCTGGTCTTGGGGCTGGCCATTTGTACCCACATCACCGGACCCGGGTTCCTTGCCCATCGCCTCTCAATTGTTATCTTGCTGCCTGGGGGGCTCCGGCGCCTTCCACCCGCCTCCGCCGAGAGGATACGGGAGCTGTTTACCGGGATATGACCGATGTGGCTGCCCTGCAGGTCGGTATTCTCAACGCCTGGGGCGCACCGCTGCACACGCTCATGCCAGGCAATGGTCACGCCGCCAAGATGTGGCAGGCCTTCCCTAGTTGGCCAGGGGGGGTTCCCGACGCTCTTCTTGTCTCCACGGACGGCTCGGGACAAGGGGATGGCGGGTGGGCCTTCGCAGTCTGGGCGCGCCGGAAAACTACCTGGTACCGGTTGGGTTGCGCGGCCGGTCCTCTCCTTGAGGCTAAATGGTACCCGATTCCGCCGGACCAAAGACACCCTTCCTTTGCCTCCTTTCATGCAGAAATGGCTGCGCTGTTGAGACAACTTTGGGGGGGCTGGGCTGACACGGCGCCCCTTCTCAGAAGCAAAATTGGGAAAACATGCTTCTGAGAAGGTTCTCTGTTTTCGTTCGCAAATGCAAAACGGCTTCAAGGCCCAACATGTTCAGCATGAACACTCGTGTCAAAAAGTTATGGAATATACAATGTTGCTATTAAAGCACAAACTCCTGGGAAGTGACAGAAACATGTTTTGATGGGTCTAGGAATCGGACGGTGTGCGAAATGAACTAAAACCTGTATAAACACTGTCCTGCAAGCTTTAAATCGTATCGCAATTCTCAGAAAAAGTCGTGGGTGGTATAAAACATATATTGGTGTGTGTATTCAAATGTACATTGCGAAACACTGGTGAAGGGGGGCTAAAATTTGTCTTGTAACAAGATAGTAATAATAAGTGTTAAGCAGCTATTTATCCGTTGATGGCTTCACCAGTAAGTTGAGAAATAGGCAGCAGCGTAGCAGTGGAGGCAGAACAGCATAGGTGAGGAAGACAGGACAGGACGGAACCAGACAATCGGCCATTGCCTTAAATCCCAAACCCACTAAATCCTAAACCCTGACGCCCCAAGCACGAAATCCTAAACCCGAAATACTAGAGCGTCATGCCCTGAACACTGAACCCTGAAGCCCTAAACCTCCCAAACCACCGCACCCTAAACCTTCCATCAGCCATCAACCAAGCATTGTTCAAACATAAGAAATTAAATGACGACCTGGCAGGAAGCTGTTGCACACTATCGCCATCTTCACCAGCACCACCACCAGTGACAGCGGTACTGCAGCATCAATACCAGCAACATTCACTGTAATTGCAACCAGAAGGATCTCCATTCTAGTCATTATTTACTACTTACTAGTAGGAATAATGGCACTCGTCGTAGTAGCAATCGTCGTGACCGTAGTACTAGTAGCTGTACCGGTAGAGGTAGTGGTAGTGGCAGTGGTAGTGGTAGTGGCAGTAACAGTAGTAGTGGTGGCAGTAGTAGCAGTAGCAGAAAAGGTAGCAGTAGCAGTAGTGGTAGTAGTAGTAGTAGTAGCAGTAGTAGTAGTAGTAGTAGTAGTTGTTGTTGTAGTAGAAGTAGTGGTAGTGGTAGTGGTAGTGGTAGTGGTAGTGGTAGTGGTAGTGGTAGTGGTAGTGGTAGTGGTGGTGGTCGTGGTCGTGGTCGCGGTAGCGGTAGGGGTAGGGGTAGGGGTAGGGGTAGGGGTAGGGGTAGGGGTCGTGGTAGTGGTAGTGGTAGTGGTAGTGGAGTGGTAGTGGCAGTGGTTGTGGTTGAAGCAGTGATAGTGGCAGTGTTGGAAGTGATAGTGCTACTGGTGGTATTGGTAGTAGCAGTGATAGTTAGTAGTAGTAGTAGTAGTAGTAGTAGTAGTAGTAGTAGTAGTAGTAGTAGTAGTAGTAGTAGTAGTAGTAGTAGTAGTAGTAGTAGTAGTAGTAGTAGTACTAATAGAAGAAGTAGTAGTAGCAGCAGGAGTAGCAGAAGTAGTAGAGTAGTAGTAGTAGTAGTAGTAGGAGTAGTAGCAGTAGTAGTAGTAGTAGTAGTAGTAGTAGCAGTAGTAGTAGAGTAGTGGTAGTACTAGTAGTAGTAGTAGTAGTAGCAGTAGTAGTGGTGGTGGAAGTGGTGGTAGCAGCAGCAAGAGTAATAGCAAAAACCAAAAATGTACTAGAAGTAGTAGTGGAAGAGTAATGGAAAGCAGAAGTGGTGGTAGTAGTAGTAGTAGCAGTAGTAGCAGTAGTAGCAGTAGTAGTAGTAGT